GGCCTTTTCAGTCATTTTTCTGGACTCATTTAATTTCCCCAGGAACGGGGGCGCCTGGGTGGCTCAGTCATTTAAGCATCCGACTTTAGCTCAGGTCATGATCTCATGGTTCATAGATTTGAGCCCCGTATCGGACTCTGTGCTGACGGCTCAGAGCCTGGAGCTGCTTCAAATTCTGTGTCTCCCTCTCTTTTTGCCCCTACCCGACTCAGCCTCTGTCACCGTCTCAAAAATAAATAAACATAAAAAAATTAAATTAGATACCTACAGCCATTTACTTTGAAAAAGCAGTCTAAAATAGGACAGGCGTGAACAGAAGTGTATTTTGATCAGTTAAAATTTTGCTTCCATCAGATACCAGGTACCTGAATATTGAAATAGTGAGAGTCAATTAATTCTCCGACTTTCTTATTATTCTAAGATTGGTAGCAGCTTGAACCATGCCAACTGAGCTTGTCAAGTCATGTCAAGATTTCAAAGAGAAAATGGACCTCTTGGAAAATACTGGTTTCGGGATGAGGGGAGATGTATTCTTAAACTGTCACCAGTATTTATATGGGTTTCCCAGTTTTATCAAAAGTGGTCATAAGTTATTTTTACTGTACCTTCAGTTTTGAGCTTTGACATTCCCCATTTAGTCTTTTCTTCAAATTCTCTGAACTCCAAAGTAAATTTCACCTATGGCATTCTAAGACATTTCAGAACAAGGGACAATTTGGCTGATAACAGTGTTTTGAATCACAGAGTTCTTCGTGTGGGTGTGTTACAAGACTGCTATTTAAAATACATGAAACAGAATCATCTACTTCCATGACTTTCCTTTGAACAAAAAAAGTTCTAATTAAGAAGAGAACTAAGTTTTTTTTTTTTGAGTGCTTACGATGTGTTGCTGTGCTATGCTTTTTAAAATATATTTTACTTCACTTAATCCTTTTAAGATACTGAACAGTGGTTACTGCTGTTTCTATTACACAAACATCATAATCGATAACATACGCTGATCACTTAGTATGTACCATGCGCTGTTGTAAGTGCTTTGCATGATCTCTCTCAGTTACAAACCTTATCAGGAGGTATCATTCTTAATCCTGCAAGGTACTGGATTTCTGGACACTTTAAACAACTTGTCCAAGTAGCCCAGCTACTCAGGGATTATTCTTGAAGTGTTCACACTCAGATTTTGTGATTTCCAAGCCTGTATCCTTCTTTCTATGCCAGTGCTTCTCTCTCTCTCTTTCTCTCTCTTTCTCTCTCTTTCTCTTTCTCTCTCACTGTCTCTCTCTCTCTCTCTCTAGGTAAGCCCCATGCCTAGTGTGGGTGATTGAACTTGAATGACCCCAGGATCAAGAGTCACATGCTCTACCAACTGAGCCAACCGGGCACCTATTATAATGCATCTATGCTTATTTTAAAATAAAAACTGCTTTAAATGATTTAGTAATTTAATAGCTTATATATTCCCCCAACTCTTCAAAGTACCATGTTTGTGTTTTCATGGCAAGGCACCCATACCCCCAAAGTGCACATATATTCCATTTTGAACATTTGAGTAGGTCAATATGTTTCTTCCAAAGCCCCTTGTATGTATAGCAGTTGTATGAGGATTGGTGTCAAGCTGAGTACACTGCCCTCGGATATACCTTTGCATTGCTTTGGCAAAATTGCTCTTAGGATTGGGTGTGTCAGATCAGTCCCTCTTGCATCTCACAGATAAACTTACCAACTCAAATGTCAACCTTCAGAATGTGATGAAGACAATTCTGGAGGTAGATGCTTAATGAGTTCTGTACAGCCTTCATCACACATTTTTCCTACCCAAGTCAAGAGGGTCTGAAATGTTGACAGTGATAATTTAGCTTTGAGCCAAACTACCATTAAATTGTCTAGCTAGAGGCAAAGAAGTTCTTATGTTCTATTCTCCATCTCCATGTCACCTCTGTATTCAAATTTTCCTATTAGTGGCCCATATTTTCTTGTGATTTTACACATCTTCTCTGACTGTAAGAGAGAAAGAGAATTTTTTTTGTAATAGTGCCAAAACCCATGTGTGTATGTGTCAACTCTCACACTGTACTGCTTGGACTTGGGAATGAACCAGTTCGGCGATATGCTTGTCATGCGCATTTATACATACAAACTCGTTCTGCTGGTAATGTGCCAGCCTCTGACCATTTGCTACGTGTGTGTGTGTGTGTGTGTGTGTGTGTGTGTGTGTGTGTGTGTATTTTCCCCTTTCCGCCTAGTTTAATTATTCTTATAATCTTATATGTACTACTTCTGGCTACTTCACACTCTAGAAGTTAAAGTGAATGAGTGTTGCTTTCTAAATGATGCTGTTTTCATGATCTCATTTTTTGTTAAGCCACAGAAAATTATTATTCAGAAGTTGGGTTCAAGAATCATTAACCTGCCAGAAAGCAGATACTTGCAAGGTTCTGCTGGTAAATAACCTTATTTTACCATCCAGGTGTGATTTGAGTTGGTTTATATCAAATTAACCTTTGTAAGCTGCACGTCCTTTGGTGGTAGAGCAAGGAAAACATTCTCCATTGGCTGACTTTCTAAATAATTTTCTTAATTTGGATCTTGTAAAGAAAACTTTTAAGCCACCAGCACTTGGACTGAGCAGATAGTCAGTTGTCTTGGTGCCTGGCCAGCCTTCCCTCCATCTGTGAGGCAGCTGAAATATACCACCTCCTTTCTGAGACCTCCCCTGACTTATGCGGGCAGAATCACTGTCTTGGTTTCTGTTTTCTCCTTATGTGCTAAGCATATGTCTAACAGGAGCCCTTTTAAGTATTATCTTGCAATTGCTGGGCACCTGCTTCCAAAGCCACCACAATATTACTCAGTATCTAAGAGAAGGAGTGATCTTTTATCTTCACGTTTCCAGTGTCTGACACAATGCTATGGATATGGTAGGCACTCTGTAAATACGTGATGAGGAAGGGATGGGTGGATGGACCCCTACTCTGAAAAGTAGCATCATGATTCTTGGTAGTAAACTTCTGGACCAAGATTATAATGTAATGACACAAACTTTGCAGCCAGATTGTTTCTGTTTGAACCCCAGCCCTAACAAATGTAGGGTTTGTACCTTGGGCAAGGTACTTAACCTCTCTGTGTCTCAATTTCTTATTTTATAAAATAGATGATAATAGTATCCCAGATGTAGTATAGGAGTACACATAAAGTGCTTGGCACGGTTCCTGGCACCTAGTGAGCTGCTCTGTAATGTTTGTTCTTATTATATTACCTGTAAGAGCAGAATTGTAATATGCTGAGACAACTGACTACTTGAAAAATGTGTTTTGGGAAGCAGAGATGAATGGAAACTTAATTATGCTTGACAAATAGCCTATGGTCTTGTGCTGTGGAAGGATACTTTGTTAATGCCCTCTTTGTTAGGAGTGCATTGAGGGATGGCAAGCTGAAGTCACAGTGAGACCTTACTAATGCCGCTAATGGAGCCTAGAAGTTTCATCTGGTGGGATATGGCAGTGCTACAAAAGCCATAGTTTGACTCTTCTAATTCAGGTGAACAGTTGTGAGAGGTAACTAAGAACAAGGTTAACTCTAGGATATTTCTCCAAACCAGGAAGGGGGTTCTGTTATTTTTACTCTGGAACAATGGACACACACAGGGTAATTTCAGGCAAACCAGAACACAGTGTACAGTTCCAATGTACATGTGGCCTGGGTGGTATAAAAATCTTTCTAGTATGTTCTACCTTTGATAGGCATCTTTTCCTTGAAAGTACTCTCAGATGAAGATAAATGGATCCTTTATCCCAGCTCCATTGATTTTCATTCATTAGTACATAAACTACAGTTCATTTAAGATCTCAGCTACTATCAACAATCTCAGTGTCAGCTCACTGGCTCTGGGGGAAAACAGTCAGTAATACGTCTTCCCTATCATAGATTGAAAAGCAGTGGAAGCAAAAGCGGATGACTTGAATTAAGAATTTAATGGTTCTTGGGGCCGCCTGAGTGGCTCAGTCGGTTAAGTGTCCAACTCTTGGTTTCGGCTTAGGTCATGATCTCACAGTTCATGACAGCACAGAACCTGTTTGGGATTCTCTCTCTCTCTCTCTCTCTCTCTCTCTCTCTCTCTCTCTCTGCTTGTGTGTGTGTGTGTGTGTGTGTGTGACTCTCTGCCCCTCCCTCCCTCTCTCTCTCTGCCCCTTCCCTGTGCTCTCCCTCTTTCTCTCTCAAAACAAATAAATAAGTAAATAAACTTAAAAAAAAAAAAAAGAATTTGTTCTTTAACTTTTTAACCAATGATTACATTCCTGAATTGAATTCCATTTTTTAAACAGGGAACTACAACCAACAGAGTTCTGTTAATCCAGGTGCTTTGACTGACTGACAACTAAGGGAAATGAGACCTATTTAAATTTGTGTCTTTCCTTGATTATTCACCTTTTTGGTATTGGACAAACTAGAACTCAAGTTTCCGTTATTGACTGTAGTGTTTGGGTCAGCATCTTGCTTAAATCATCAAAGAATTTTGCCTCTAAATAAATTAAATAAATCTCTCTGTCTTTTACTGCTGAAGCTTTATACCAAAAAAAAAAAGGTATAAAATTAGGGAGTTATGTACATCTGGCTTGATCCTCTTGTGCGAGCATTTGGATTTGAGCGCCAGTGGCACCCTGCCAGTGACAAATGGAGGCACTGAGATTGCCTTTCCCGTCATCCGCTACCTTTTATGGTGTCGAGGGATTTCTTGTTCTCCTTAGTGACCCAGCTGCAAAGCAGCTGTTGTTGAGGCTCCTGCCTTTCCACTCTCACAGGGCAGCGTTCCTAACCATCCCCCTGGGATTTAAGCTTCTGCAGCAAGTGTGTCAACTCAGCTGTGTGAGCCAAGGCTGGCTGGGGTGGGGGGCGGTGCGGGGGAGGACCATCCACAGAGCTGCTTCGCATGCTGTGGCTCAGTAGTTTGGGATGGAGTGATCCAGCCAATGCTCATGAAACTGGTCATGACAAACAAGAAGCACTCGCTGCACAAATAGCCCAGCTGAATGGTTGGACTGGTTGAGAATAGCTAAGATTCAGGGCCTTTCCAATTGCACTAATTCCCTAAATGGAGATTAAGTCACATTGTCCACTTTATCCATCCTTGCAAAGTTTCCTGCTGGAAACCATTTTTTATGAACTTTTGGTGCCATCTTATGGAACACAGAATGCTGATAAAATTGTGATTACCCCTCCCACCCCCAGTATAATGGAGGTGTTGAAAATAATGATAGTGGGGGTGATGTTTTGGGTCTCACTCAGGCCTCACAATATGATCAAATTTGCCCCCTGGAGCCTGTGCTTTTGTATGACTAAAGCAACAATCCCAATGAGAATGTGTATTTGAGAAATGTGTTTTTAGGGGCACCTGGGTGGATCAGTGGTTAAGCATCTGACTTTGGCTCAGGTCATGGTCTCACATTTCAGGAGTTCAAGCCTGTATCAAGTAAGATCAAGCCCCACATTGGGTGATCTTGAGCCCCACATTAGGGTTTTCTCTCTCTCTCTGCCCTTCACTTTCTCTCAAAAAAAAAAGTTTTTATTGTTTTCTTTTCCAAAACATTTAACATTTTTATGCATTTATGACCACTTATTATGCATCTGGCCGTTCTCTAAGTGTTGATCAAACAATTCTCCTAAAGTGGTTTACAAGTAGAAGAGAGGACAACAAATGATAATTCGAATATTTATGTTAAGTGTCACAGCAAAAGTAGGATTTGGTCATTGTTAGAGCACCTAGAGGAAGAGACTCGGTTTAAAGAATTCTGGGTGGATGATATTTGACCAAGGCCATAATGGGAAAGGTATCTAAGACATCTAAAAATTAATGGGGTTGTTTTCCCTTCTAGTTTTCAATTAAAAACTAAGCAAAAATAAACCTTAGGCCTTAATTTTTATGCCTCGTTGGGATTTATGTTTTGATTTCTATATTTTTCAGTGCATTCAGCGTGTCCCCTCCCCTTCTGCTGATATTGTGCCTTCCACTCTCCTTCACAGCCAGACACTCACAGAGTGGTCTATAATTGTGGTATCCACTTACTTACCTCCACCCCTCACACTTTCCCCCAACTCCTTCTGGCTTCAAGACCTATTATTTCATATAAACATACCCAACTGAGGTTACTAATAATCTCTGTGTCAGAAAATCCGGTGGATGATTTTCAGCATTTGACATAATTGACTATTTCTGTCTTCTTCAGTTAGTGTTTTGCCTTGTGGATGAAGCCTTTTTAACCAACTGCATTCAAAACTAATCTTATTTCTTCCATTATTTATAAGTTGTTGTTACTTTGTTTTTTGTTTGTTTTTGTTTTTGTTTTGATTTCACAATTAGAATCTTAGAGGTCATCTTTGTCATTATCTCCACCTCCTTCATCAGACCCTCTCTCTCCTATCCATCACTTTTATCTGTGCTATCTAAATATCCCTCGTGTCAGTCCAATAATCTTTATCTCCGTTAGCAACCCCATCACTCTTTTTTAAAAGCCTGGACTAATCTGTCTCCATACCTTCTGTTCCCATTCCAACCCTGTAACCATGTGCCCTCAGAGTGATATTTACAAAACAGATAAGGACACATTCCTTCTTGGAACCTATCAGCCAGGTGTGCTCTACTTTTCACATGACCCGCCTTTTGTCCTTGGCTCCCTCATCCCCGCTCTGCACAGGATGTGTTCCTGCCATGAGATTTAACCTTTGCTGTATCTCTAGAATACTTTTTCCTCCCTTGAGCTCGTTAATCATACACCTCTTTCACGTTTTTAGAACGAGGAGCAATTCCCTTGAACACTTTTTCTGAGTATTCAGCTAGGTCAAATCAGCTGTTCTCAATGAAATTCCATACTCCTCGTTTTTGTCATTCTCATAACCACTGTTGTTTTGAAAGATGCACAAGGGCAGAGGTTATGTTTTATTCATCATTTTTATCCCAATGCTTAACACAGTGATAGACACGATAGGTACCCAATGCATATTTGTTGAATTAAAAAAATAAATGAATAAATTTCAGGAATTGTTAAAGTTCATTATTTTAATTAAATAACAGATATTTTGGGGGATGCCTGAGTCGCTCAATGGGTTAAGCATCTGAATTCGGCTCAGATCATGCTCCCACAGTTCAGGGGTTTGAGCCCTGTATTGGGCCCTGTGCTGACAGCTCAGAGCCTAGGGCCTGCTTTGGATTCTATGTGTCCCTCTCTCTGCCCCTACCCCTGCTTGTCCTCTCTCTCTCTCTCTCTCTCTCTCTCTCTCTCAAATGAATAAATATTTTAAAACTTTTTTTAAAGAAACATTTTCTAAAAATTTTTTTAAACAGATATGTTTTCTATTTCATTTGTAATTTAAAGATAAGCTACACACATTACTCTAAAGTCTAAAAAGAGCCAATTTTAATATTTTTAAATGAATCACATTTTAAAGTAAATTGTTGGAATATATATTTATCTGTAATATAATTATAAATTTGATGCAAACAACATTTTTACTTCACCACAACTTCATCAGACATTTTAAAAAAATATCTAAATATTTTCATCAACTGGTACTATGGATAGAGAAGAATTATGGTAATATGTGGGTTTTAACTTAACACTGAGCTTAGTATAACAAAGCAGTGTAACAGACTAAGCGATTTACCCAGATGGAGTTTAAGATGTGGTTGTATCCCATCAAATTAATTATCTCACACTGAAATGTTATTACAGTATGTGTGGATGACCTCTTTAAGTTTGAAGGGAAAATATACAAGTGAACAGATGTAGAAAGGAAATGAAAACTTGTAACAGGAAATCTGAGTAAGCCAAACATCTCCAGTTATATAATATTTCAGAAATTAGCTATTTGTATATCAACATTAAAATCTAACTTTTTACTCATAATGTCAATGCTGTCAACATACAATTTAAAATTTTTTAATTATCATTTTAAATATTTATGAAAAGCAAGTAACTTATTTAAAGCTATTTTTAAATATATACTTTCTCTTTTATTGAAAACATTAAAACCTAGAAGGTTTTTTTTTTTGTCTTTCTTCTTTCCTTCCTTCCTTCCTTCCTTCCTTCCTTCCTTCCTTCCTTCCTTCCTCCCTACCTCCTTCCCTTCCTTCCTTCCTGGCATTCTTGCAGGTTTTCTCCTCATGTAAGGCACTAGATATGGCATTTTTTCTCCTTGCTAATGCTTGGTCTGGGGCCTCCTGTCTGTCTAGTCTTACCTAAATTAGTTCTCCATACTGTTGCTCTAACATCTCAACCTAGTAGAACTTGATTACTCCACAGTGCATTCACTTTTCCTACCAACACCTACTCTTTCCCATGTGAATAAGTCAGCATACATTCACTTGGGTGCCATAAGTCACAGATGTGGAGTCATCTTTGACTTCTGTTTTTATGTTATACCCATACCCAATCCATCAACCATCTATTTTCGAGGGATTCCAAAACTGACCACATCTTATCACTTCCACCACTTTCACCCTAGTCTTTTTTCTTTTATTTGTTTAATTTTTTTTTTTTTTTTATTTCTAGGAGAGAGAGAGAGACAGCGTGAGCAGGGGAGGGTCAGAGAGAGGGAGTCACAGACTCTGAAACAGGCTCCAGGCTCCGAGCTGGCAGTCAGCACAGAGCCCAACGCGGGGCTCAAACCCACAAACCGCGAGGTCATGACCTAAGCGAAAGTCGGACGCTTAACCGACTAAGCCACCCAGGTGCCCCAATATTTATTTATTTCTGAAAGAGAGAGAGAGAGAGAGCATGCACAATGCAAGCAGGGGAGGGGCAGAGAGCAAGGGAGTTAGGGGATCTGAAGTAGATTCTGTGCTGACAGCAGATAGCCTGATATGGGGCTCAAGCTCATGAACTGCAAAATCATGACTTGCGCCAAAGTCTGACACTTAACTGACCCTAGTTTTCCATGGAGTATTAACAGCCTTCTAATAAGTCTCCCAGTTTTTTCTTCTGTGCCACCTATACTTTTCTACCTAAAATGTGAAGTGATTTTGTAAAAATACAAGTTTGATCACATTTTTATCTTTATGTAGATTCATCCATGGTTTTCCTTCCTAATCAAAAGAAATTCCAGTGCTTGTTTTAGCATCACATACACTAAAATTGAACTGATACAGAAAGGAATAGCATGGCCTTTGTGCAATAATTACATACAAATTCATGAAGTGTTCCGTATTTTTTGAGGTTCTCAGAGTCTATACGACCCTTTGCTGTTTAACACCAAGGAAATTATAGGAATCAAAGCAACATGTTGCATCCAATATTGAAGCTGTGATTTTCACTACCAAAAAAGAAAATTTAATTCCAAACTACTCCTAGGCCCTACACAGTGTGGTCCTTCCCATCTCTCACACTCATTTCCTATGATTCTTTGTGGGAATTACTCCATTGCTGCCATATTGTTTTTCTTGTTAAGCACTACCTCTCTAAATCTCCCAGATCTTTGCATGGTTCACTTACTCTTTTACTTATGTCACCTCTCAAATGTCAGGATGGGTCTTTCTGGAACAGTTTATCAAGTATCATTCTACCCTTCTCCCATTTGTATATTGTTCTCTTCTCTTAGTTTGTATTAATTTTCCCAGAGTACTTAAAAGTAACTGACAGCATCCCCTCCTGATGTGTAAAACTATCCATTCTGTCACGAGAATGTGAACTGTAGGAGGGCAGAATCTTTGTCTTGATTACTAAGGCCTGGAATAGAACCCGTTACATGGCAGTTCTATGAAGTGAAATATCACATTTCTGAATCTCTTTCCCTTTTTAGTAGGCTAAGTTCTGTGTTCTCATGACAGTTGAGTTGGACAGGAACACAGCACTATTTTTTAACAGCCTACTCTA